AGACTTTTGGAATAAACTCTCTCTTATTTTGGGCAGTTGTGTGATCAAAAAAACTTGTGCATTCGTCGTGATGAGAATTGGAAAAAAGGTTGTGTGGGCTGGAGGTAGGATGGGCCGAGGTCATTAAGCAGACAGTGTCCTTTTTGTTGGTGTGTGAGTTTGTGTAGTCACCAAACACACGAGGGATAAAACCACTAGAAAAGTAAACAAATGGCTAGTCACGAAAGCAACCTTCTCGCTTTTCCCTTATAAAAATTCGCTGGTTCCTGATGTACTAAGCCAATAACAGTATAGGGCACATATGGAAAAATCAGTGTGTGTACACCCCTGAAAGTTTTAAAATATATCAAGTCGAAGGAACAGTTTTGGTCTCGGTCTGCATTTTTGTCAACAAAATGAACACATATCGGTTAAAACGATGAAACGTTCGTACCACGTGTAAAGCTGTCACTGAATTGTTCACGAATATTGCGCGTATCGAATATTCAATAGTGACATCTCCTTTACATCTCCATCTACATCTACTTTTATTAAGTTAGTAAATTCTGTACCGACATCTCAGCAACTAACTTGCGCGCAAAGTGAGAAGACTATATGAGGGCTTGAAATTACATTAAGAACGATGTTGATCAAGAAACGGGCAAGGAATACTCCAAGATAGTGCAAATAATCGTGAAAGATGATCGCGGAAAAGCGATTGCGTGACTCTCGGTAAGTTATGAAATGACATGTTATCCACGTATCTGACGAAAAAACAGTATAAATTCTCAGTTTGCATTTTTTTACCCAGTCTGCAGTCTGTATTTTGTACCCGGTCTGCAGTCTGCATTTTGTACTGACCGGATTGGTGTTGCTGTTTTTGTTCGAGCGAGCCTCAAGTCCGGACCGAAATGTGGGAGCTCAAAAAAAAATTCTAGTGAGACTATCTTGGCCGCTATGATTGCAATGTGGAATGTATGTTGAAGAGCTCACGAGGAAAAGTACAATGATATTGCAATAATTACTTTATACTAATTGAAGACGAACGCAAATGCGCGGCTTACCAATATGGCGACCTTTGATGCTCTTTCGCGTGGTCACAGCATGTGTTGAAATGAACCCGCTACGGGTCCCCTAGATGTGAACATTTCGGCTTCTCGATTCAAGTTGCATTTTAAGAAGTTCGGACATGTGATTTGAGGTTATTATTTTTATTAAACCATATAATCATTTTATTCCTTTCCACGTGAGTTTCGGAGCTTCATCGAAATTAATTTTGACTTTCACTAATTGGGAAGGGGTAGCATGCGAGACTACTTCCGTTCTCGGTCCACAATACAACTTCCTTCCACGGAATACAACTTCCGTCAACATCTGCTCTATCACGATACATCATTCATCGTTTTCAGCATGAATGAGCTAAAAACAGCAAACTGTACAAAACCTTGGTGCTATCGCATAAAAACGGTGATCAATCTCACTTAATCGATATTACCTACAGATTCATTTACAGATCGACAGTTTTTTTTGCAAGCTTCTTAAAGGTTGTCAAAAGTTTGGTAAGGTTAGGGTTTTTTGTTTGAATCTGCTGCCAGCGAGTTCATGTCACATGCCGTATTGGTTTTATGAAACCTGTAACTTTAGATGGAAAGGTAGTTGACCCAGGATTCCTCTCTGTGTTTCATAATTTTTTTAGAAAGTAAATAGGCGGTCTTTTCCCAACAGCAAAGAAAGCATTATCAAATTCAAATGACGGTGTCAAATGTGGTGAAGTATTAAGTAAGTATGCCAATCACAAATGATGTATTGCCAAAGTGCAATAGAATATTTATGAATTAAAAATCAGCTTCATCACAAGAATGATTTGGTCGGATAACACAAACCTGACGAACATCTTCCGTGAAAAACTTGATATTTCTCCACGACATTCCTTTTCTCAGAATTGCTGTTTTTTCTTTGACAAAAGTGAAAACATCTGTCACATAAAGGAAATCAACCATTTTACAAACGAAGTGTAACTTTAATGTTTCTTCGAAATATTATAGTCGACGGATTATCAACGCAGTTATCAATGTGGGTCAGTATATTGTTCAATTGCAAGTTTACTTCGAACTGTTTTCGATTGTGCTTAAATTTGAATTTATGTGATAAAAAGCGCTTTGAATTTTATTGAGACTCTTATTTGCACACTGTTTCACAAAGGCCATATGTCACCGGCTGTTTCGTCATTCTTTACGATGTCGGCAATTTCTTTTAAGGTTCAAAAGGAAAGAAATCATGACACAAACTGAAGAAAAACCTTTCCTGATACAGTTGAGTTTAGCCGTGAATCCACTACTAGCAATGAATTGACAATTAGGTTTTTTGGCTGACATGCACATGGTTATCTCCAAACTCTTGCGGTGCTCAAATGGTTTTTCTTCTTTTTTATACGTGATGAGTTATCGCACTTTTTTTGAGATACGTAATCATTCTATCATTCTATGCAAAGTTTGCCTATATAGTACATCATGGCTAATGTTATTTGAAACATTGAAAGTAGTCTCCATGTTTTTATGCATCGCGCTTTTTAATATTTTTTTTTTACAGTCGAAGAAGGGTATGAAGATAATCACTGGCGTGTAAATCTATCTTTCTATGGCTCGAAGTGTCTATATGCTTCACTCAACCGACCTGCCCTCGATTTTTGGTGAAGGTTGTTGAGGGGACTCTTCGTGACTTTTCGTGTCTCCTTCTGTTTTCACCTGATAACACCGTTTAGGTGTCACTGACATCGCTAGCACTCGATTGCTCTTTCCAAACATATTTCGTGTTAC